ATAAATTAAACTAAAAATGATTTGTAGTATTAATAAAGTGAAATAAAAATTGATTTTGAATATTTTGTGAACAAAATTAACTAAAAAATATTTATACATGCAAAACTTGAACCTATGAAAATTTAGTAAGGACATAATAGTCAAATCAACTTTACTAGTAGATACAATATAAATTTTAAGCATACATCAACATAGATAATTGTCTTGGATAATGCACAAGTCATATGAGTTAATCCAAAAAGCATGGTTAATACTTATTTGTTCCTAATAGATACTCTTTACACAAGTATATGTAAATCAAATTGAATTGAATTCGGATCACACAATGGAACCAAATTCAAACAATCAGATACTACTTGCAACCCTATGTGTAGGGATGTTCACATTTAGTTGATAAACTGAAAACCAAACCACATTGAATAAGCTAGTTCGGTTCAGTTAACATGGATATCGGTTTGGTTTTGTTTTTGAAAAAAAAAATGATTTTCAGTTTTGGTTTGGTTTGGTTGAGATTCTCAATAGAACCGAACCAAAAAAGGCAAAAACCCAATTAGTTTTTTTATTTACTTAAGTATATTAAATATTTAATGTTCTATTTAATACTTTATACTAATTAATCATTATCTTCTCCAATGACCAATTTGGCAATTCCCCATTGGGCTTTGGCCCATTCTAACCTTTAATTAATATTAGTTAATTAACATCTAGACTAATTATTAATTGTTTATTAATCATTAATTGTGTGTGAATAATTGCCAATTTGGCAATTCTCCATTGGCATAGGGCTTTGGACCTATTCTAGCTTTTAATTAATAATAGTTAATTAAAATTAGACTAATTATTAATTGTTCATTAATCATTAATTGTTTGTAAATAATGGCCAATTCAACAATTCCCTATGATATGGCTTTGGACATATTTTAACTTTTAATTAATAATAGTTAATTAATTAAAACCATTGGGCTTTGGGGCCATTTTAATTTTTAATTAATAACACTTATTAATTATTAATTAATTATTGAATGTTTATCATTTATGTGGAATAAGGGCTCAATCAAACTGAAATCGAACCAACTAAACTGAACTCGATTAGGGCCAGTTTGGTTCTGAACTGAATAATCAGTTAGGTCCTCAAGCTGAACAAATCGATTGTACACCCCGACCTAGATGGACTAGAGTTAGAAGCACAAAACTCTCTCCTCTTTTATGGGTTATAAATATAAAGGGAAAACCTATGACGCCGGAAAGACTGACCAATCACACCCCCCAAACTGAATAATTGGTTTCTATTTTTATGGAGCTGGTTAATTGATTATAAGTTTTTCAAATATCATATCTTTCAAGCATCATAGTGGAACCCAAATATAAATATATGCAGTAGTTTTCAAATTTAGAATAGAATGTTTTCAAATTGTAACAATATGTATGATAGCACAAAGATATGATTCCATGTGAACTTTGACCAACCAAATCCCCCGTGGGTATCATGAATAGCAGGTGGTGATTGGTTCCTAGTTTTATTAGACTGGTTGATTTATTCACTACATGAAAATGGGGCTATAGCTATGGCACTTTAGCTACGGTAAAAAGAAAACCATAGCTAAAACATGGGATATAACTACAGACAATTTGATGTTCGTGGCAAAAAGTTGAGCTTTAACTACAGACAATTTGTTCGTGGTTAAAAGCTATTATGTCCGTGGCTAAAAGTTATTTATAACCATGATTATAATGTATCCATGGCTATAAGTTATAAAAGCATAAGTTGAGCTTTAGCTACGGACCATTTGTCCATGGTTAAAAGTTGAGCTTTAGCTACGGATAATTTGTCAGTGGTTAAAAGTTATTCTGTCCGTGCCTAAAAGATATTTATAGCCATGGTTATAATGTATCCGTGGCTAAAAGATATTTATAGGCACGGTTATAATGTATCCGTGGCTATAGGTTACAAAAGCAGAAGTTGAGCTTTAGCTACGAACAATTTATCCGTGGTTAAAAGTTATTTTGTCCATGGCTAAAAGATATTTATAGCCACGGTTATAATGTATCCGTGGTTATAAGTTACAAAAGCAGAAGTTGAGCTTTACCTACGGACAATTTGTCTGTGGTTAAAAGTTATTCTGTCCGTGGCTAAAGAGCTATTTATCACTATAGCCATGGATAACTAAAAGGCTATAATTACGAAGTTAATCATCTTTAGTTACAATCATTTTATTCTTAGATAATAAATAATATTCATTTAAAATATTTATTATTTATTAATTACTTTTTATAGTAAATTAATAATTAATAATTTATTAAAGTAAATGAATATAATTAATAATTAACAAATTATTAGCTCATTACTATTGCATAACAATAATAATTAATGATTTCTATTTAATAATATTTAAACTAGAAAATAAATTATTAATAATTTCATAAGTACATTAATAAAAGGAAAATAATTTCTAAAATAGAAATAAAAGTATTAATAATTATTTGATTAATTAAAATTAATCATCAAAAATTAATTTAATTATTTAAGTAAGTTAATAATTAATAGAAAATAATAAACTAAATATGAAAACCACTAATAGTAAATTAATTAATTACCTATGAATGAAAATAATATTAACAATTAAACTAAATTATTTAAATTCATAAATAAATTATTATTAAAGTAATAGTTATACAATATAGATAAATAATTATTAATTATTATTTTATTAATTAAATAATAACTAATAAATTATTTCAACCACTTTACCAATTTTTTTTGCCTCAAAGTGTAATTTTTAACTTTTTTTTATTTGTGAAAGATGAAAAACTAAAATAAAATATAAATAAATCTCTCTCTCTCTCTCTCTCTCTCTCTCTCTCTATATATATATATATATATTCTACATATTTCAAAACAACATTATTTATTCTATATATAATAAAACATATAACAATAACCAATGTTTAGAAAGTTGGACGATTAAACCATGATCCAACCCTTAACCAATTTGACCATACACCTAACCCTATTTACTCAAAAAAAAAGCCAAAACTATCCACCAAACTGATCTAACCCAAAAAAAAAGCCAAAATAACGGTTCTAGGGTAAAATGGAACTGGTCACCTAACTAATTCTTGGTTTTTCTAGTCTGGTCCGATTTTGAAAACTATGATATAAACAGATAATATAAATAGGTTGAGGTTAAACAATCAGAAAATTATTAATTTAAAAATCCACTAAACTTTCACTAAAAATAAATATTAACAAAACTTGGTAAATATTAAAAATGTGTTTCAATTCCACTTAAAAATCCAACTTAATAAATGCTAATAAAAATAAGAAATTTAAATATAAAAATATTAATTGATAGTTTTAATAATATTATTAGATAACTTATGAGTTGAGACCTTCATAAGCGCTAATAAAAAATATTAATTGATAGTTTAAAATATCAACAATTAATTAAAAATCCAAAAAAATTCTGAAAAATCTAAACATAATTAAAATACTAAAAATAATTAAAAATTATTGAAAACTAACGATATTTTATATTAATAAGGGTGTTTACTGAAAATAATTAAAAATTATAATTAATAGTATTTTATTATTAAAAAATACCAAAAAATATTAAAAATCAAGCTAGAAATTATAGAAAATGATAAAATTAGCTGCATTTTTATTAACTATGGTATTTATTTAGTAATTTAAATGATGAAAATACTGAAAATTATTGAAAAATGTTCATATGCAATAATTACTTAATAATAATGAAAAAACACCAAAAATTAATTAAAAATTCGAAAATTCTGAAAAACCTAAAGCTTAATTAAAATACTAAAAATATTTTAAAAAATTAAATTAATTATATTTTATTGCAACAAATACTGAATAATAATGAAAAAATAATGTATTTTAATTATTAATATTAATATAATCAACAATAATTATAATTTAAGCTATAAATAGTCAAAAATTACATTTAATTAGTTTTAGTCAAGAAATTAGCGATATTTCTGTAAATATGATAATTTTCTAGAAATTATTGTATTTTAAATAAATACCTTAGTTTAATAATTACAAAATTTTAATAACTTAAGCAACTATTAGATCTATAAATTTGCAGGCTCAAGCAACTATTTTGTTTTGAGTAGGTCTAGTTGAGATATGCACAATACCCACACATTATCAGGGATAATCAGATTCGAAGTCTAATTGGGTGTTAAACTTTTGGAGTCCAATGAAAGCTTTAGCAGATAGGGTATCAAACTTCCGAAGTCCAATGTTTTTTCAACTTGCCATTGACCTAAATGGTCAAACTGCTTGAACCATCACCTGATTAGGGGTGCTCATAAAAAAAACCGAACAAAACTAAGGAAATTGAACAAAAAAATCTGATTAAGTAAACCGATAAGTTTGGTAAGTATTTAAAATATATGATTATATTACCTGTATAATATACATATTTATAATATATTATATATTACATATTTATGTATTTTTTATAGTAATATTATAAATATAAAAAAACCAAAAAACTAGTGGACCAGTTCAGTTTAAAAAATATGCCTAGGGTTCATAAGCACCCCTACACTCGACTCTCTTTCCTAAGTCTAGTTTTCCCAATTGAGCTAAGGCAATCCGAAGTCAAATGAAGAATGAAGAACTATTGTAATTATCAAAATTGTTAAATTTTTATTAGTTAATTTTATTTTTATTAAATTAATAATTTTAAATAAAAATGTAATGGATACTAAATTGTTACTAATTTTGTTATATTAATCAATTTAAATATAACTTTATAAGTTATTGAATTTATTAATAAAATTACTATTTTTTAAATGTTAGATTGAATTTATTTATATTTGTAGTAAGTACTAATTATAATTAATCATTTAATTATTTTCTAAACTTATTGCAAATTTTAGAAATTGTTAATGCGTCCAAAAAATTCCCGCCTTTGTATTTTCTCTTTCCCTCCCATTTGGACTTTCAAAACGTCTCCCGCCCTTCTTATTTCGTTTAATGAGTTCGAATGCCAAGTGCTATTCCCTCTTTGAAAGAAAAACTCTTCTATGTTTGACATTCAATCTTCCCCCAACTCTCAGTTTTGGCATCAATTTCTTCTTCTTCCAACTCTCAGATTCTTCATTTTGTTTTGTTTTTTCCATTTTCATTTTCAGATTTCATTTGGATTTTGCAAAAAGGTTTTGTCAGCCATTCTCCAAGACAAAGGCTTAGCTCAAAGCTTCGGTTTCACTGTCAAAGCTCCAGTTGTTCTTCAATATGGGTATTTACACAACTTTTCCCCTATTGGACACCCCATATGAAATATGCTATCCACCACTCTCAAGTGCCTCCCCCTCAAACATTAGAGCTCAACGCACAGCTTATTGCTATAAGATTTTCTCCTTTACATTTGCTCTAAGGTTTGTAATTCTTTTTTCCTTTTTCGTGCTAGGATTTAAAGTTTATCATTGCTTTGGTGAATGTTTCTTTTACTTTAGAAGCATTTAGTGTAACTTCTTAGGTATTGATGTAGGTATGCTTTTGAATTTTTGGAATTGTTGGATGGGTTTCAATTTGTGGAATGGATTGGTGTTTTAGGTTAATTATGTTTTCAAATGTTCTTTTTATTGGCAATGAATAGTTCTAAACTCTGTTTCCTTTTAGTAGTGTTGCACCTCGAATTAGAAGGCTTTCATGTAATTTTGTCTTCATAAAACTGATTCTTTCCTCTTATACCAAGCCCTTATTGGATTCAATTTGGTTTCAACGACAAAGGGTTTAATTATACAGGTTTGGGCATTTTTTTCTTCATTTACTTCTCCTTTCCTAGTGTCCCATTGTGTTTTTTTTTTTTTTTTTTTCTCTTTGGTGTTTTTCCTTTATAGGTTTGCTCTTGGGGTTGAGGTTTTCCTTCTTTCTTTAATTGGGGATTTACTTCTCCCACCAGTTATCTGGAAAAATAAGAAGCTTGGAGACACTAGCTAGAGTGTTTCAGTAGCCACGATGAATCACATGAATTATCAAGATGTTTTGGTTCCCTATGGGTTTCAAATGATTGCATGAAGAGTTTAGATTTTTAAATGATATAGATCCACCAGATTGGGGCTGCACCAAATCAATGCAGAGCTCTCATTTTCTAATCAAGAGTAACTTGGATATTGGTATGATAAAGTATCTAAGTTTTGGGGAAGGTGAGCATTGGAATTCCTGTTATTCTATTTTAGCTTTTCAGATGGCATTGCATGGTTAGAGAGTTTGATGTTTTGGCTAAAATTGCAGGTAGAACAAAAGCCTTGCAAGATAAATAGCTCCAACCTGAGTGTTGACGGTCCCATTTTATAATTATTCCAAATGCTATCAGTGGAAACACATGGTGGCTTAAAAAGGAGATTATCAGATATATCTTTTTTTTGAGAAAAGTTAACAATTTTATAGAAGAAAGGAGAGGTACACAAGAGTGTGTACAAATACAAGAGAGGGGCGAGACCCCTGAGAATTACACAGGAGGGCAGGAATCACAGTACAGAGACTCTAGAATAATTCCTAATTTTGCTAGACCATCTGCCATTACATTTAGTTCCCTTGGGATCCAGGTTAGAGAAACATTCGAAGGAGCCAGGAGGTCCCTTGCGTCTGGTAGGAAGTGACTAAGTCTCCAAGGTTCAGTTTCCTGTTGTTCCAACCATCTTATAGTATTGGTTGAGTCACCTTCAATTGAGAAGCTTTGGATACCCAGTTTGCTGACTAGGCGAATCCCTGTTAGCTGCTAACACTTCTGCCTTTGTTGAGTCAGCTATCCCAATCGGACCACTATAAACCCAGCATGTGTGGCCATTCTCATCTCTTAGAATTCCTCCAATGCCGACAGCTCCGGGGTTACCATAAGCACCAGGATTATCAGATATATCTTAGTTCATGGTGTGCACCACTGTGCCATTTATGAATGTTGTTATGCTTATAATATAACTAATCCAGAGTGTGATTAAAGAAGACATGCAAGTTTTCTTTAATTGACATTATCTTCTGTTAGAATTAATTCCATAAGTGGGTGCTTTCATTGGTGTTTAGAACATATTTGCTTAGTGGTTTGRTCTTAATTTTACTAGATGGCCATATACTAACTTTAGGACATTTATGTGTATTCACATTGATATATGTTTCTTATATATATATATATATATATATGTTGTAAACCATCCCTTTTATTTTCTTAGACTTATACCCATAGTGTAGAATAGATTTGGATTAATTATGCACGCTATGTTATGTATGCCTATATGATAAATTTGTACATGGTTAATTGGTTATTTGAGATGATGATGAGAAGTATATCCTCTTTAGGGATAAGAAAATTTCAATTTCTTTGATATTCCTTTCTTCTTACAAAAAGATTGTGTGTTTTTTGTTGCATCTTGTTGTGGAGATTGATCAAATTATTGTAATCTAATTGCAGAGTTTGTTTTGTAAAGTAACAATCCAAATTGACTGGGTTGTGATGTTGGGAGTAGTGGCTGCTGAGTTTTTCTAGTGTATGACCATTCTTTACTCTCCCGTGTAATTAAATTTGTGACAGTTTCAGCCCTCAGTGTGTTTAGCTCCCCTGTTATGAACTCCTTGAGGTAGTGGAGAAAACTCATATCCTAGGATGCCTTTTAGCCCTCTATCCTTTCTCCCATCTTTATGTATAATAACTAGAGGAAGAGGTAGAGGCAAACCTAGTGTAACATGGTTATGACAGTCCCCTTGACAAAACAAAATTCTCAACTCTTTTAATTAAAATCTGATTTGCATAAGTCTCCTAAGGAAGTATCTCCTAGTCATTAGAATACTGTTTGGGGATTGGGGTGCTTTATCAGAAGTAAACTGATGCTTGTACATTCAGGCAAAGCCAAGGTGTCTCTTCTCAAAGATTCAAGGCTGTTGTTTGAAACAGATCTGGGTTTTCCTTGTGAATAAGCCACCTGGGCTAGCTAGGTTGGAACTTAATTGCCTCTCTTAGTGGCACATTATATTAATCAAATGAAGTCCAGGTGTCTTCCTTTAGGAACATGCGCCTGGCATTGGCTGAAGCAAAGATCGAAGTTTGCACTTAGGAAATAGGTGTCTTTTGTTGGTTAAATTAATGAAGTTGAAATTGATAGCTAATTTAAATAAATCCTGGGGTTACTCCCCTAGATTTTAAGGACCTGATCTAGGTGTAACCTCCTGGGATTACTTTTGTGGTTTTAGGGTCCTGACCTAGGTACAACTTCTGGATCTTCTTAGTAAAGTCTCCCTTGAACTCAAGGGCCTATCTATCACATGGACAAAATAGTTTCACTAGGGTTGAATCAGAATATTCAGGCTTTCATTTCAGTCAATTTCTTTTGTTCATGTAAATAGAGATTATATTATAAAAAATTGGCCCGTCTCTTTGCTTATCTTGCATGCAACAAGGGCCAAATGAATATACCTTACAATCTGAACTCTGAAGTTCATGCATTTTGTTCTCTATTTAAAAAAATGGGTTATCTATTTTGGGTACTAGAATTTATGGTATGAATTTCATATTGGACACCTTATTCATGTTATTTCCTTGGTTTTTTTGTTATATTTGTATATTGGATGTTTGGGGATGCACTACTCTCATTTTGTGTAGCCCCTTCTCCTTAAATACCAAATAAAAAAAACTCCACAAGCCTTGAAAAGGTGAGTTGATCTAAATATGGACAAGAAATTCATTCCTAACTTGCTTCTATATCAGGAAGGTTCCAAGAGCAAATTCTATGAATCTTGTATAGATCTAAATGCTGGTTTTCCGTTTGCAAAAGAAAATTGTATTTATCAAACTGTCAATATTTGCCATATAGAACATGAGAAGTGTGTCTCTGTTGTAATTGAATTTTGTAAAGTTCCCTTCCTAAACCCCCAAATGATTTCTAAAAGCTATTATTCTATTATGTTATATACAATAAATACATGAAAATTAAACAACCTATGGATGATATGGTTCAACTATACAATGATGAAAGTTTAACAGCCCCTAATATTTTGATAGATCTTATCACTAGTAGGGTCCCCTATTCACTGTATACAGAGAAAACAAAAATGAAAATTCTCTATGGATGATATGGTTCAAGGATGGACACCTATTGTTATTGTAGAACCTTTAGTTATCTCTTCTAATTATAGACAAGTTTCTTCTCAGAGCTCTCCCTCCCCTAAAAATAATGATGGCTGCTCCTTAAGAAATTGATGAATCCATTAGGAATTTTTTAGAAATCCAAGTCCATAAGACATAGATAGAACATGATGCAAAATGAGAGACCTTATTAGCTCATTTGGGCTCTTTTGGATCTCAATGTTATATACATGTTATTATTAGTCTATATTTCTTCACATTTTTCATTGTATATTGCATATTTAATTAGATCATCAAAGTAATTATTGTTATATTTTTTTTTTGTTTTTCTTTGTAGGTTAAAGATGCAACAAGTGACTCTTAAAGCTTAGTTGAAGACAATGGATAATTCTTTTATATTTAGAATTTCTCTATTTTTTTTGAAAGTCATGTAGATGTTAATATGTATTGAGGGAAATTTGACATTTATAATACATTTTAAACAATGGATGTATTCAAATATGTGGCATGTACTGAATTGTTACAATAATATTAGTATTTGCTAGAAGTTATTATATAATTTTCATGTGATGTATGAATAAAATAGATGTTGCTTCAAGGTGGTAGTCCTAATTGTCATTATTTTACTATTTTATTTGGAATATAGCCATTTTTTTTTTTTATAAATTGAAACAATTAGCTATGGTTTTCCAAGAAATTTGTGGGCATATATTGCATCTTTTAGCCACAGTTTGTCAAAAAACCTTAGTTATAGGTTAGAGTTTTTAACTTCTGTTTTAGCAAAAACAACTGTGGTTATAGGTTAGTACATTTAGCTATGGTTTTGTAGCAAACCGTAGCTATAAATAGAAGAATTATAGCTACAGTTTTGTACAAAACCGTGGCTATAGATTTGGATATATAACTATGGACAATTTAAAAACTGTAGCTATATGTATCTTTTAGCTATGGTTCAGCCCGCAGCTAAAGGTTCATATGGTTTGCATATGCCCTATAGCTATGGACAAATATTGTAGCTATAGATGGGTTATAGCTACGATTTATTTGAACTGTAGCTGTAGGCTATAGCCACACGAACATAAGCTATGGTTTATTGTTTGTAGCTAAACCGTAACTATAGATCTATAATTACGGTTTTCTTGACCTTTAGCCACGGTTTTATCTGTAGCTAAAGATCATATTTCTTGTAGTGATTATTAGTTTTTCAGATATCATACCTTTTCAGTTCGGTTTTGAAAGAAAAATTACAATATAAAATACCTCATATGACCCTCCAATTGTTGGAATGAATTCTGAACTCATGCAAAGAATTAAATATGATAGATGTGCATAAAAGTGAATTGGGATTTCCTGTTTAGTAAAAAAAAAGGATCTCCTGCTTCCAACCCTCTACCCACTTGATCTTATACTGTACATCTCGCCATGAGACAGAGACCCACAATCAAAGTGGAATCCTCTATGAATGAGATGTGCGAATTCGGCATCAGTCAGGGCAAAATCTGTTCGAATAGCTTTTACTGCCTTGCATTGAAAATGTCATAGTTGCAAAAAACTATTAAAACGGTGTGGGCACAAATTTGTCTTGATAGAAGCCGATCTCGAGATATAAGATTTCAGATCATATTGATAGACTGTTGGAAATCGGAATGTATTTTTTTGGCGGGTGATCCTGACTCCATACAAGTAAATTAAAGTTGGAACTTTTTTCTCTTTTTCCCATCAGCTGGATAATACTCTATATTGGTCAGGGAATAAGAGAACAGGTGGTAAAGCTTTATTCAGGCAATCTGCTGATAAAGCAGTCTTCATGTGAGAATTTAAATATTTTTCACAAAATCGTGCAGATTGTCCACCAAGTATGTCGGGCTGATTTTTTTTTTTTTAATTTATTGACGTTTTGGGCCTGATGATCATGTTTGGTAGACCCAACCCAACTTTTGTTGGTTATGTGAGAATCCAAGACAACTTATCATCACTTTCTAGTTCGTGACCCATTCACTACTTTCTTTTCCCATCATGGTGTCTCACCGAGGTCAGTCATCATTCGTCAGTCATTTTCGGCTCATTTAAACTATGACCCCATTTGGAGTTGTACAACTGTTTGGTTGGATGGAATTGGAATCTCATTTGTATTTCTGGTGGAATATCATTCTAATATTTTAGAGAATGGTCATTTTTTCTCCTTCCTTTGGGAATTAAATCCCATTCTAAATGATTCCAATTCTCATTCCGATTCCTGTATAAACTAAACAGACTATAGGGTAGACCATTTTTTAATTCCAATTCTGATTCCAATTGTGAACCAAATAGATCCTAAATTTTTCATTTTTCACAAGGGTTAGCAATATCCATTTCAGTTTGTAAAATAAAATGGTTTAGTTTTTGGAGTTGCTATACCGGTTGTCTCTTAATTCTTGTGTTTGGTGCTTTTGGTGTTCTAACTTGAAATGTTTTAAGTTGAAATACCATTTATACTTGGAAAACAAACATTAATATCATGGTTTTTAAAACCGACTCGGAGACCGAACTGGTCAGGGGTCTGGTTATCGGGTCAAATGGTCCAATCGTTTGAATCGAATGGTCGGCCCATTTTAACAAAAAAATAAAAAACGGTCAAAACTGTTCGAACGGTTAACTGCCCAGGCCAGCAGTTTGCTGACTAAAGTCAACGGTTTTTAGAGAAAATCTGGTTTTGGGGAAAACAGAACCGATCACCTGACCGATTCCTGATTTTCCGGTCTGACCGTCCGGTCCGGTTCAATTTTGAAAACTATGACTAATATCACATCAATGTTATCTTTTTCTTCTTTTTTTTTTTTTTTTTTTTTTTCATGGGGCTAAGCTAAACAATGGCCCCCATCCCCTTTACCTCATATTCCACTCACGTGGCAGCATTTAATCCCAGAGCTCTACTATAACAAATCAAAGATCTTACCAATAGAGCCACCATCGGTTGGTTAATGCCAAATCAGTAAGGGTGTTAAAAACCTTCACTTCCCAGAGTTGGAAATATCAAATTGACATCCTTTTCCATGCCAAGTGTTTAAGGAGTGTTTTATTAACTCAAAAAGAAGTCTCCAACCAAAATCAACCACTAAACTCAAAATCCGTATGTCATGCTAATGTGGTGGTGTTTATACATAAAAATTCAAGGGTACCAAACAACTCCCAATGTATTTTTTAGACTGTAACTCTTATTATTGATCACATTTATAGAAAGTTAGAAGCAAATTAACAAAACAAAAAGAAGAAATTAAGACGGAATCACCGAATAATATTTGGTTGAAAATCATCATATTTGTTTATTTTATCAAAGAGATTTCATAAATATCCAATTGTGTAAATCTCGGACCATAAAAGGGATATGATTGAGTCCTATTTGGGTTGTCAAGAATCAAAACTAGCTGGAACCACTGCATCTCTCTATAATTTTTGGAATTTAATGCATTTTCTATGAAATTATTTCAGGGTATATACCCAAATTACTACATTTTATTTTATTTACGTATGAAACCGTTTTATTTGCGTTACACAAGGAAAAAAGAAATGGGTTCATCCGGTTGATACATCAACAGCAATGCATCCTAAATGATGAAAAGGAAAGGTGAAGACTGAATAGGTGGGCTGAACCCGGTCTAAATCCTAAGCTGAGCTTGGATTTGCTACCTAAGAGATGCTATCGCATTCCTACCAATTAAATATTACAGTTTTATACATGGTTTAAGGTATCAATACATCCAAATATATGGACAGGGGTGTATCAGTAATTTTCAAGCCATGCTTTTTAAATAAGTGTATCAGAAACCTAATTATATGATACAGTACACCCAATAAACGACATATCCTATTTATATTTGAACCTTGGTTGTATACATGGAGTCATTCATAAGAGACACTCCCAATGTGTAGTTGTAGTCTCTCTTGCAAGTGAGTAGAGATACATTATCAATAAAAACACTCTCAACCAATGTTTAGAGAATTGGAACGGGCATAGAACTAGAAAAGGGAGAGGTTCACGGGGTCAGAGGTTCAACTAGATCGAATTGTGATGATGTGGTACATATATATTATAGTAGTGATTCATGCGATGCATGGGATTTATCATGGAAAAGTGAAACAATAGAAACTGATAATTATATTAATAATTTCAGTAATTTGTTATAAAAATAATTTAATAATTTAGATTAATTATATTAATAATTTAAAAAATAATAAATGATCTCTAATTACTCAATAAAAAATTATTTTTTTCATATTATCCGTGAGTGTTATATTTTACTTACTTTACTTTATTAATCATTAAATGTTATAATTAAATTAAATCTACAGATTAGCTTTTTAGCCATAATTAAATTAATCTAAGTCTAAGCTCAAAATTTAAGCCTATGAAACAAATCCTCGTCCCCATCTCCATTTCCATCATCGGTTGGGTATCATTATCAATCTCCATCCATGCCAAGGCAATATCCATCCTCAGCCCCATTAAGCCGCAGAAGTTGAGTATCTAATGGAATGAGGAACTTTGCCATCCATATTCACATTTGAAAACTATTAATTGATTAGTTGTCATAAAACTATAATTCGAAACCTTATAAATAAAATAAAATTTTAGTAAATTTTTATCTAGCAACTATTAAAGAAATTAATAAATATTAGCAATTCATAAAATAGTAATAAAAAGTAAAAAATATTAAAAAACAATAAAATAAACCACTTGCAATCCATATAAAAAACTATAAAATTTAATTAAAATATTAAAACTAATAATAACCTAATTATGAATGTCTTAAGACTCCTACTTAGGAATGATCATTTATAACTTAGCTTAAACGTGACTAAACCAACAAAATTTCGGTCTCAAGCAACTATTTTCTTTTGAGTTAGGTTTGGCTCAAATATACACCAACCCCACACAATGTAGATAGTAGGATTATAAATGGTTTGGATTTAGATCAGAACCAAATGCATCTACATCTGCATTCGATTATGAAATCTAGATCCACATTCGCATATGATTATTATGTTGGATTTTGGATCATCTTTGCATTTAATCTATAACCAACTTATTGTTTTTAAAATGATAAAAAAAATTAAAAAGTTTTAAAAAACTAATTATTTTTAAAGTATATATGTATAAAAAATGTATATAAAAATATAAATATTAAATTTATCAATTATAAACTTTATATAGTTATACATAATATATATGTATACATAATTATTGGATTTCTATTGCTGTTATTTGGTTCATTTGAAATTGGAATTGGAATCAACTAATAATTTTATTAATAATTTATTATTTTATTAGTCTTTAATAATCAATATCTTAGTATTTATAATGAATGTTTTATATTAATATTTTATTTTTAGTTATGAATATTAATGTTTTTATTTTATTATTTATTTATTACTTAGTTAGAAGTAATATTATTATAACTAAAATTTTATTTTTCCTACCCTAAAATATATTATATTAATATTT